AATGGGTCATGTTGATTTCCCTTATAGCTTTGCATGATTCTTTGGGTGTATATTCATTGTGTGATAAAGGAGTTATATTTGTATACATGTCTGTGTTTTCTCCTTTTGTGCTTTTACTATTGATGCTGGCTTGAATGAATTTCCTTCTCTTTTTCAATATCAATTAGTGGTTGGAACAAGTATCTGTATCTAGGAGTTACAAGTCTTGGTGCTATTTGCACTTGACTGGAGAATACTATCATTGTTTATTCATGTTGGCAGGGGTGTAAAACTATACGGATCACCTTGGCCCTTGTCTAAAAGAAGTGTTTTCAGTTCTTGACGGATGCTCAAGCTCTTGGTTTGAGAGTCGTTATTTGAGAAATTTACAGTTCCCTCTCCTTGGCATGGTTTGTGTGCTGTAAAGTTATTGTAGAAGTTTGTGGCTAATTGGGTATCTATGCAGCATTGGTCAAAACTCAAAAGAATAAATGAAGTGACACACATCTGGTTTATTCTTTTCTGAAACATTGTTCATAGTCCCTTTATGCATTTAACATGGCAAATGGAGAACCCAGGGATCCTTTTGGGGATTTTACACTATGAATGCATTGAATATGTGTACTTCTTTTCTGTTGTGGTCAAAATGATATTTAAGCTCTGATTGGTAATGTGGTACTGGACAATTGTTATAGTGAGGAATTTACCATTATATCTTCTGTTTCTCTTTTTTAATATTAGAAGAAAAAAACATGGGTAACTGATCAGATTCAGATAGTGGTCTGTTATAATGTCTGTACTCCTAAAGTCATCCCTTCAAGGATGGTTTCCTATTAGGATTAACCATCATCTAAGTTTTAGAGGTACGCCAAATTTCATTAGTTGCATCAAAGATTCGTCGTCCATGGGTGTTTGGAGTGCTTTGGTGTAAAATTTGCATTAGAGGTTTACTCATATGAGTATAGTTACACCCTCATGAGTGTGATAAGTGCTCAAATGTAGAAATTGTAGCAATTGGAGTATATTCTTTTGGATCTAAATCCATGTTATTGAAGATAAAGTTATGCAATTAACAACAAGAAAGGACATTTGTTGCAAACCCTGTTTGGTATCTGTGCCTATCAAAAGTCTCATCTAAAGCTCTCTAAGCATCCTTAAAAGGTTAATGCAAGATTCAGAAAGAAATAGTCAAATAATTAGCTGTGTATAAGATATTGGTGAGACATCTTTTATTTCTATTTTTATTCATAAATGTATTACTTCATACAATTTCCATCTTTCATCAGTACAATCTTCAGAAATTAGTTCTGGTTTAGCAAAATCACTTTGTAACCATAAAACCATGCTTACAAATAGTTAATCCCATTCTGAAGTATCTAATTTGATACTCTGTTCTTTCTGTGACGTGTAAGTAGTTAAAAAATTACTAATTACTATATGTTGCTCTGATTTGTCATTATTAATTATTCACTACAAAATGGGATAAATATTTTGTATTTAAAATTTAGCCAATCAAAGGGAGCCTTAGTTTATAATAACAAAATGACAATGTTTGAATTTATAAGTAATATGGATTAAATTGTTTTTTCAGGATATTTTTTGTTTTCTTCCATTACATATGTATCCCTTTTTTGTTTACAAATAAATTATGATCAAACAAATTCTATGTGGCAAAAATTTCAACCCGCATTATCCAGTGAAGGGAGAATTAAAACTCATCATAAAGAAATTCTTATATGATAAGGAGATATCCCCAACTCCATCCATTTCTGATTTTTCACATTTAAGTCTCATAATTCAAACTCATATCATGCAAAGCTAATCTCTGCAAAGGGTATATTTTCCATGACTTGTCTGAATTTGGTTTTGAAAGAATTTAGGTTAGAAAAAGTAGTTCTTTAGAAATGATACTTTGAAACTTTGTTAGAAAATCAGTGAATTATAATAAAAGTTAATACTGTTATTTAAGCAGGTGTAAATTAGAATTTTGAAAATACAGCTGTGCTAAACCCTGATTAAAAAAATATTATTAATTAAAAAAAATTTAAAAATTAAAAAAATAGTCTCAACATTCAAACTCTGTTAAAACTTCTGGCATAGATAATAAATAAGCACATCATTATGAATGCAATTCCACTGTCATTGATAAGAAGAGATATTTAATAAACTTGTTAACAAGAATCTTTGAGATATTATTTAATAAGAGCATTACAATTAACTGTTTGAAAAAAAGAACTATAGGAAGTTTTTTAATTAACGTAGTTAGACAATAATAATATTATTATTGTAGTTAAAGATAGAAAAGGGTGAGTAAACGTGGAAGGCATACCGAGTGTGAAATATTAAAGTAAGTTGATTTGTTGTAGGTGGGTGTTTGGGGATAAAATAAGTTGGTGGCCACTATCAAGGACCAGTTTGTTTAAGATACCTCAATAAAACTACACACGACAATTGGATAAACATGAGAACACAAAAAAAGAAATTATAGAGCACAAGAAACTTTTTCAACGCATCTACGTCACATTCAACCATTTCTACTTCACTCATGGACTCATGTCTCCAAGATTCACCCTCATTCAACGTCTACTCCCAAACATATTTCACCAATTTAACACTTTTTTTTTTGTCTCTTTTTGCCTTCTCACCCTTTTCACCATATAAAACCCATTATCAAATATCAATGTATTGTATAATGTATTGTATAGTCGTCCCGTTCATCTAAAACTGAACAGTCCACACAAGCAGAAGCATCTATCAAAATATTATGAGATCGAACAGTAATTAAGTGATCGTCTTTAAATAATAATTAAGATTGATGATGATTAACTTAAGTCTAAAAACGATAATTATCATATGGATTGTGATTAGGGCGATATAAAACCTATTCTAAAATTGAGATAATGAGGTGAATTGGTTGAATATATTATGCATTTATTGCTGAGATTGTTGAATCTTTGTTGATTTTAGTATTGAGTATCTTTTGCAGGTCTCCCAGCTTGATTAAATGAAGTGAAAGACAAACGATGATATGAACACACAAAATTTGGAAGATTTATAATCTGGTCCCATAACCGAAACAATCAACAAATGGATTCTATTTTATTCATGGTAAGAAATTTTTCTTTAGTTTTTAAATCTAGTTGTGCACCTTCTTTAGTCATGCATTTTCACCCACAAGTTTATATTTCTTTCAACCGCTCATATATAGCTCCTATTCGGAAGTGATTTTATTATATATATATATATATATAGGGGTTTGCTAACGCGCGTACGCCTGTTTTTCAGTTGGTACATTTTAGCAATGTGTACCGGGTTTTAGTAGACAAAAATATCCTTATATATCATGGATTCTAAGTTTTAAGGTTAAGGGTATTTTAATAATTTTCATTCTCAAAACTAAAAAAAAAAAAAAAGAAACCCCCCAAACCCTTACTCACCTCTCTCATTCCTCTCAACCCTTTCTCTTTCCTCTTTCTCACTACAATATTTTCTCTGTCATCTCCTACTGTAGCCCCAATTGAAAAAAATCAGAAACACTCGTCATTAAACAATCTTACAAAAAAATAATTTTATAATGAGTTTTCATCTTATAATTTTTGTTTTATCTAATTTTATCCAATTTTCACAAGAATAAAGGAATTGGTAATTGACCTGGAAAAAATCAGAAATACTCACTGTTAAACAATTTCTTACAAAAAATGATTTTATAATGAGTTTTTATTTTATAATTTTTGTCGTATATAATTTTATCTAATTTTCACAAGCATAATGACATCCGAAAGAATTGGTAATTGGCCTGGAGGGTTTTTTTTAGAGATGATGATTCAACAAATACAAATGATGAAATTAGAGAGGTTAGTGAAGATGGTGAAATTGAAGAGATCTTGAATGAACCTTTGTCTTGAAGGTGAATATGTCAATGACTCAACTCTTTACAAAGGCAAATTTTTTAAAGGCAAGTGTTTCTGATTTTTTCAATTGGGGCTACAGTAGGGATGACAGAGAAAATGTTGGAGTGAGAGAGATGAAAGAGAAAGGATTGAGAGGAATGAGAGAGGTGAGTAAGGGTTTAGGGGTTTCTTTTTTTTTTTTTAAGTTTTGAGAATGAAAATTATTAAAATACCCTTAACCTTAAAACTTGGAATCCATAATATATAAGGGTATTTTTGTCTACTAAAACCCGGTACACATTGCTAAAATGTATCAACTGAAAAACAGGCGTACGCGCGTTAGCAAAATATATATATATATATATATATATATATATAAAAGCAGTTCACTTTTTATAGTGAAAATGAAACTTTTTTTTTTCACTTTTAACCATAAAAAAACTCGATTTACTATTATTTTATCCTAACTGTTGTATTATGATGAAATTAACAGTTTGTAAGAGGAGGAACTAAACTTTGCAGGATCTTTGAATATTTGCAATCCAATTGGCAAACGACACATTGTCAAATTGTGCAACCTATTATTGGCTTGGGTTTTCGATATTTTATTTATATAAGATTCGATTTTACTTTATATTAGAGTCAGCCTACCAGTTAAACAAACTTTGCTTTATTTTTTTAAAATCACTTTTACATATATCGAACGTGATTAAATCAAATGACGATAGTAAAGCTTAACTTTAAAATTGACCTAATATAATAGTTGATATCAACCTAATTGGTGACGTGGCCACGTTTTGATCGTAAAAAGAAAAGTATAAATGTTCACAACATTGAAAGTCTTTTAAAAAAAAGCACTTGGTCTGATCCGTGACTGTTTCTAAAACTCAAATAAAAATCATAAAATAATGCCTTCGTGCAAATGACAAAGAGGTCAAGTAAAACATTACAATTTTTGTTTTGGAAGAGAGAAAAAGAAATGTTAATTATTTTTAGTGAATTTTTCTATTTCTTTTCATTTTTTATTAAATCAGAAGTATTTAAAACCGATTTGTTTTCCCTTGGATGGAAAAGATAGGGCAAATGCAGGAAAGTGGTATAAGAGAGAAAAGAAAAAGTAGCATAGATGTTAAAAAAAATTAACAAACTGATTGCGAAATAAATAAATAAAGTAAAAGAAAAAGAGGCGAAAAATACAAAGAAATGAGATAGGATAGGATGGAAAGTGTATGAGCATGAAAGTTAGCGTGTGGTTACGAAAGTCAAGCTAAAAACGACGTCGTGAAGGACAGCCTTTCCTGGACTTTACAAAATCCACGTCATTTGGTTTGTTCAGGTTGTTCTCGATTTCGTTGAGGTAGTGGCGGTCACGTCGCTTGGTGTAGTGTTTGACTTGAAAGTCAACGAAACGGCGTGATCAGGACTTGGAAACGGAGGCGGTGTCTTTGACGAGGCCGTTACTGAGAGTGGACGAGTGCAGGGTGAGCGCGGATATTCCGGGAGAAGAGGGCCCATCACCGTTGGTGAAAGGGTTTCTGGTGTGACACGTGGCTTTGGAGATGGCGGTGGCCAGGGAAATCGGCATAAGGCAGAGACCTTTCCCCTGCAGGTACTGCATGGCGGATCCCATGTCTTCCTCCATGAGCTTCGCCACCTGTTGCTCCGTCGTGGTGAGGGTGTCGTTTGAAGAAGCATGGTTGCCGTTTGAGTTTCCGTTGGTGTTGTTGCGTTTTTGTTGAACGCAGTCCGCGCCTCCCTGCAGTGCAAAGACGACAACATGTGACAGCGTTAGTTACAGTAGGGTTGTTGTGAGAGAGAGAGAAAAAGAAAGAGGAATCTGCGAAAGTGGCCACGCGTGCTGCTTTTGGATTGTCGTTTTGTGGTGATTGAGAATTTGAGATTGATTGATTGATGGATAATAAGCCAAAGGCAACACAAAAAGACTACTCATACTCACTCCGACAATATTTTATGGGTGCTACCTCTGCCCTTCTATTTCTTCTTATGGAATTCCTCCCATGTTTTTTTTATTATCTTCCTCATTTTCTTGTCTCCTCTTTTATTTTTGTTTTTCTTTAAAAATACCCGAATTCACAACAGACAAGCATTGAAGGGGAAAGGAGAAAAAACAATCTTTTAATTGGCACATAGTTGTTGTGATAATCAAAGTGGAAAAAATAGTGTAAAGATGGAGTTGTCTACCTCAGAAGATATATCAGCAACAAGGGGTGCCACAGCCGCTGCACCTCCCAATCTGCTCATGCTTAAAACCTGTGTAATCCAATGATTTTTATTTTATTTTTAAAAAATATTCACAATGAAGATAAAAAATATTCACCAATTTTGAAATTTTGTAATTAAAGAAGAAATAAGTTGAATGAAAAATTATATGAGAAAAAAGTTGGTCGAAAAACACTGTGTCTGCACAGCAACTCATTGAACATGCTGACTTATTTTGTAAAGTTGTATACATGTGTTTCACTAAAACATTTATTTAATTATATCATAGCCTTCGCTTTATTAACTTTTTCTGCTTCCTTCTATTGAGATATGAATATAGAATGAAAATAAAAATAAAACACATAAGATAACACACAGATGTAAGACAAAGAAAATGAAAATAATTTGTCACAATATATAATAATTTTCTATTCATTAAGAAAACGTGGAAACAGAGGGAATCTCACCTTGACTTGGAGCTGGAGGAACTTCACATAATCGATGATCTCATCCAACATGGAGGCCTTATCAGTCTGTCAATTCATGAACATGCACTTTTATTTTATTAACAAGGATATATTTGCTTGTATAATTTACATTTTACACTTTTTTAAAGTAAAGTGAGACAGATATGAAATGAGAAAAATAATTTAGAAAGTCTGTATGATAAAAAGAATCAGAGAAAAGAGAGTGTACTGTAAAAAGAGAGTGCAGGAGTCCTTTTACCAAGGATTGATCCTTGCATTGGATGGTGCAATGGTGCATATATAGTACTATTATTATTATATATTGTTCATGTGTTGCGTCTAGTCCCTTCATTCTTCATACAGATAACAACAAAACCACAAATCCCACTTGCTGCAAGTACCAAACCTTAGTGCTCTCCAGCTTCATATTTCAGGCACGCACGGAAAGATATATATATAATGGGAAGGTGTTGCCGCTACAATACATACCAAAACTACTGGGCACTTCAAAAGTGTCTAATTTATAATTATTGTTCATTATACTCCAATTAATCCACAAAAAAGAAACATAATTAAGTTTAACCTTACTTCAATCCATCAACTGATATTTACCTTGTTGGCGTTGGGAACCAGTTCCTGCAGGGCCTTCATTCGCTCTGCGATTCTCTCCCTCCGTAACTGCCACACACAACAAAATTCCCAACCCAGTTTCAGAACAATAAAAGTAAGACAATGACCATATCTCCTCACCAATACAACAATCAAACGTCAAAAGATCAAAAATCAAAACGATGCTGTCCTATTCCGCCGTTTCCAATGATTTGTTTTTCTATTTTACAACAGAAAAAAATGTACTGCTAAAAAGTGTATGGTTCAAAGGAACCGCCACATGAAGTCGAAACACGTTTTCGCAAGGCCAGAGAAACGTACCCTTTCGGCGATGCTGTGTGGGTCGGTGGCTTGACCTCTCCTAGCTCTAATCCTCTGCTTCGGCTGCCCGGAACCCGCGCCACCACCAGTAGCCGGAGCCGAAGCTCCAAAACTCTGTACCTTGAAATTCCAAGCGAAACAAAATCAGTTCACAACCTAAAATGTCTTATTTAATTTTATCATTAAAAATAATAAAAGGAGAAAGAAAATGAAAACCTGAGGAAGTTGAAAATGGTGAGTTTGGTTGGAGGGTTGGGCGGCACCTTGGAGAGAGGCGGAGAAGGCGTTGTAGAGAGGTTGAACAGGGTCAGCGTTCTGAGAAAGAAAAAAAAATTAAACCAAAAATCAAAAGGAGCAAAAGGTTTGGGGTGATTAAATGAAGAAAGTAGTAACTGAAGCAGGAGATTTGAAGGAGGAGGCGTGAACGACGTCGTTAAGAGAGGAGACGGGCATTTGGAGGATGGGGGAATTGGCAGCGGCGGAGGAGAGAAGGAGTTGATGGTGATGTTGGAGCATGAGAGCGGAGGCTTTGTCATCGGTGATCTGGTGGTTGCGAAACTTGGAGGCCAAGTTGGCCTGTTCGAGGTCGTAGGGGAAAACGACGTTGTTTTCCGGCGTGGTTTCGTCGGAATTAGGGTCCCATAAGGGGTTGTGTTTGGGGTCGAGTGTCCATGGAGAAGACGAAGGGAGATTAGAGAGCATTTGCTTAAGGAAATCCTCGTTTGAAGTTGCATCAAAGTGGATCTGTTGTTGATTGTTAAAGAGAGAGTTATTGTTAGCGCCTTGCATTTCTCTACTACAAGGTTGCATGAGATTAGAGTTATAAGCTTTAAAGCAGACACAAAAGAGAAGAAAGGAGGGTTTCAACACAAGAGTAACCGCAAGACAGTGCTACTTTTAAATACGTCCCTCACCACCAACCTCTACTGTTTTATTATTATTATTATTCATTTTCTTTTTCATTTCCCACCAAGGGTTTCCTCTACGACTTGTCTGTCAAGTTTCTTAATATCTCATATTTTATTTTCTTTTTCTTTAAATTGTAATGTTAATAATCTGTAATTGATTTTAATTTTGAAAATGTTTTCTTAACCATTCATTTTTTACATCTTTTTTACCATGTTAAGATCAAATAATATTTTTAGAAATGAAATTTCACGCGAAGAAGAGTGTTTTTGGAAACAAATTTTGTTTGACAGGTTTTTGAAATATCATTTGGAAAAGGGTTCATCTTTTTCCTCTTAAAATCTCTCTTTCTATCTCAAGTCACTCTCAGCGTTGTCTCTTGTATTAAATTTGAAATCTCAAACCTCAGTTTTCAAGCTCTACTCATACTTACACACTAAAAAGAAGGCTCATCCTTTGACGAAATATTAAAATAATACTAAATTGCCTATATGGAGTGATGTTCTACTGCAAGTTTTTGTACAAAATCAAATTTTTGTACGGATAATTGTTTATAGGATCATTGTAATCGATTACAAGGGACCTGGCCTCCACTTGAGGACTGCACCTAACTTGGTCATCACAATTGGATCTTTCCTCCATCATAAAGTTCTCAAACCTTAGTTTTCAAGTTATACTCACACTTAAACACTAGAAAGAAGTCTCAAAAAAATATGAAAGAAATACTTAAATTGCCTTTAGGAAGTGATAGTTCTTACTACTAGCTAAGTTTTTATACAAAATCAAATTTTTGTATGGGTAACCGTTTACAGGGCCATTGTAATCTATTACAAGGGACTACAAGTGTAGCCCATACAGTAGATTACAATGGCCTTGTAAACGATTACCCATACAAAAATATGATTTTGTACAAAAATTTGTACTACAATACCCAACTGTGAGAACGTCACTCTCGAAGAGAATTTGAGTGACATAACATGCTGTCAACTTTGACATTTGCGGATTATTTCCACATACCTCCAAATGATGTGATTCCTTGTTTATTAGAAAATAAATTCAAAAATCTTTACTAATTTGTGATTTTTGGACATCTCTACTTAATTGCTTAAAATTACTGTTTTATATATTCTTGCCGCCACCTCTGGTTGTTTTGCTCGTAACTTTCTTCATCAAACTCTTAAATAAGTTGATTCTTGTTTGGTTGGAATGTAGACTCAAAGAGCTCAACTGACTACTAACTCATAATTTTTAGACCATTGTACTAGATGCAGTTAATTTTCCAAAAATAATGTTTTTCTAAGTTTCCTAAGTTTATTATTGTTTCATGTTTCTAAGCTTCCTAAGTTTATTATTATTTTCCAAAAACAATGTTTTTCTATCTATGAGCATTGCTGGCCATAATTGATTACAATACAATATTCTTGTGATCGGTTACTAGAGGCTAGAAGGTCATTTTGAAAGAATGACGAATGCACAACTACATTAAAGAAAACAAATATTTCACGCAAACCCAAACAATAAAAATGAAAAAACAGACCAAAATCGCAAATAAGAAATGCTAGAGAAAATTGAAAGATAACACAAGTTTAATTGTAACCAATATTAAAATATTAAAACATATTTTTCTTTAAAATATTAAAAAAAATAGGCAATGTTGTAAATTTTATTTTCTAAAAAACAACTTTATAAATGAAATAGGTTTTAGTATACTTTTAAAAGTTCATTTCCATTTCTTTTAACAAAAACGTTTAAGTGATTAATGGAATATACTAAATATCCTCTAACCTACTTTCTAACAAAATAAATAAATGTTAAATACCAAATATAATAATAATACCACGTATAAAAGTGAACTAATTTAAAAACACATAACAATATAATATATATATATATATATATA